ATTTTATTACAAAAACTTGGTAAATAAAAAAATGTAAAAATCATAAATTTAAATTTCGTTTTCAGCCTCAGCACAGTCACAGTGTGCCCACGTTTTATACAATTCTTTGGACTCACCGTTCTTCACAGTGATCCGCTGACAATAATCCATTACAAAACAAACAATGCGTTTGGCCATCACAGGGATTTTCAACCCCCACTAGTGATTTCAAAACAGAGATTCCTGATAGACTGTTTCAAGAGTATATGTTTAAAATCTTGCACATGTACGATTTGGGTTTTCTTACCAGACTGTTTTGTGCGTTTCACCTATCAGTTTTTACTTTTTTTTTTTATCTGAAGGCATATGTTTTTTCTCCAGCCGCCATAAGAGCCTCCTTGTTAGGAGATGTGATAAAGGGGTACCTTCGAAACTGAAACATGTTTGTGGCGATTCATAAAATAGTCGAAGAAATCCCTACTGGTAAATTCATCTTCTGTGAATAGATGTTCAATTCCATTTCTTTCACAAAGTTGGTACGCAACAGTGCGAAAATCAAAATCTTTTCTGGTGACACCATAGAATTTACTTGCCCTGACATGCACATACTTGACGCTTTTTCCAGCTCATCCCCCAATATAGGTTTTCTTCCTAATTTAGTTAAAACTCTTCTTCCAAAGGTTTGTCAACACAAACAAGCCTTTGAAGAGAATGTCTTGGTACGAGAAACGTTCTGGAAGCCTTTTTCAAATCACTTTTTCTTGCGCTTAACTGCGTTGTGACTTCAAAATTCCATTTTTTCTTTTTTGTTTTGCCTAGATCCTTTTGTGACATCTAAAACAAAAATAGTACGAACATAAGTTATAGTATACGTAATACGAGCCCTTTAAGGTTTGGGCTCATATACCCACCATAGGTTGGGGATCATTTTGTACAACCATCGCTATATTAAAATTCTGCATACCAAAACCGTTTTTTGTTACGTTCGAATTTACATATTGCGGACATAAAAACAGCGTTTAAAACATATTATATTTCATTCGCTAGACATTAGAATCGGTCTAAGCAAACTCAAACTGTAATTAATCGCCAAAGACTCCAGAGATTTTAGAACCGAGAAAACACGAACACACACGAACACATCAGCTCTCATTCACAACTGAACCACAGAGCTATGATGGCAAAAGGACCTCCTAAACTAGTAGTTAAAATTGTTCCTGCTAGAATTTTTACGATGTATGAACAGATACTAAGGGGGCTCATATTACATACATGACTCATATTACCGCCTTTACCTCTCAAGATGGCGGAACTCGTCCACAGAATGTTAGGTCATGTTTCATAAAAAACGTTATAGGAGATAATATCCCGAGCGCTTTTGAAATTTCTGATAAATTTCTGTAGAAATTTACAATTCATGAGGGATGGTTAACAAAACTATTCCATGCAGAAATTATGTCCGGGTTTCGTAATGTGACAAATATTAATTGTATTATAAAATTCGTGCTCACAAGGTAAACCACGTGCTATGACTGATTTACCTTAGCTTATGATTAGCTAATATGGAGAAGTGATCAGTGATTTCGAAAAGAAAAGACGGTATTGTTTTTGGAATACGAATTTTTTTAAAATAATAGATAAATTATCTAGTTACATTTCGGCGAATAGTACTATTTTGCGTGACAATTTCGCAAGTAAATACATTAATGAATTCGAATGAATCTGTATGAATGAACTCGAATAAAATTATTAAATTTTCTCATTAATTTCACCGCAGTTTCCACAGACAAGTTTGTGATCGTAGCTTGTTAGATTGTGGAGAAAAGTGCATGTCATCGTGTTTACGGTAATTAAAAATTTGATAAATAAGGGCTGATGTAGTCTGGGACTCGCTAAACATGATGTGAATATCTCCTGTTTATTTAACAATGTAGGCTAAATAATGATGGTAATGTCAATAGTTTCTTTGATTTTTATGCGAATTCCAAATTTTTTACCAAGAACACTTCGTAGGTAAAAATAATAAACATTTGGAAAGTTTGAATAATATCAATATTATGTATTCAATTCTGTCTCTATATAAAGTGTAAATAAAACATGACCTTTGCTTGTCCAGGCGATAAAACGAAAATCATACTTCTTCGCAATGAAACCAAACGATATGTCTATCCGGTTGCTGGTTTTGGGGGGGAATTCTTTAATATTTTTAGTTTGTATATTGTGAATGAAATGGAATAGTTTTCTGATTAATGTAGAGTTTCCTTATGTTTATTATTAAATTTTACAAAATAAAATTCCCAATAAGCGGCGGCACAAAATTAGGCAACTTCTAGGCAGACATGACATCTACGAGGTATTTTGCAAAAATGCAACGTAAATAATTGATTATTTGTTCTCAAGTGCAGAACTAAACAATATATAATTCACATAAAATTTTCTTCTATTTCTTAAGCTTACTTATTAATTATTTTCCTCATTTAAATTGTGCAATTACTTCTCGAGTTTTGTTGAAAAGTAAACAATTCAATTTCACAATAAATGGAATTATTTTTCGTTTCAGTGGGTACGACAGTTTTGGAGAAGTGAATGTGCACGATGAGCAAATGCTCGTTGTGCCCTTCGGTAGGAACCAGTCTGAAGCCCAAGAAAATGGCGTAAGTTTCTTCACCGGAGAGGCTGTATCAGTAATTGCTGCGAGAGACTTTGAGATCTCTAATACTGTAAGTACGATAGTTGCTAAACTTAATTCAAAGATTAATTTGTCTGAAACCCGTTATTTTTAACGACTTATTCGGACTAAAATAAAACCAATTTTAAGTTTACAGTTGGGAAGAGTTGTATTGTTTTTATAATACATTTAAATGGGGTCTATGACCTGAGGCGAGAGAAATTGCGGTGTGTTTTCAAACAGAGTTGAGAGGTTGTTATGTGTGATGAATTCTCGTAAGAAGTGACTGATGTAATGACGGTGATGTCACTGATGTGATGTGTCGTTGTGTGAATGTACTCTATTGATGAACGATGCGAAACATATAGCGATAAATGTAATGCTTGGCCTTTAGCTGTGTTGTACTATCCAAAAGTAATTTGTAGAAGTAATGTGTACTTAAGCATGCAATTATTTTTTGAACTCCATAAATATATTTTTAATATAAATTTGCCGAAACTAATCAAAATAAAGTAATAAATAAATATCCACACAGTGAATGAAAATGTGCAGAACCCGTTCGTGTATGTTACACGATCCTTCGTGGGATTCAGATCATTAAATAATATGCGAATAAAATGTCTTTTGTTTTCCACTTTAATACGTTAATGAACGAGATAAAAATGCCATTCACACTTTCAGGCTTCCATTGGCAACACAGAGCCAGGGAACGGCAGGACAGGAGAGGCCCCGACCTGCACGGGGCTGTGGGTGCAATGCTCGGGGCGGCCGGCCGGACTGCTCGACTCATTCCAGGTAGGATTGCCTGACTCTCGTTCAGAAACCAATTCAAAGAATCAAATAATTTTTTTTCAAAACTTAATTTTTTTAAACTTAACTGCAGTGCCGCAAACCACGATTTTCCTAGGTGGAAACGTCCAGTAGACTTGATTTCTGGTTCATAATTGTTCGTGAGTGCTGAATTAAACTTTATTAACATTTAAAGTCGGCATATTTCCGATAGGAATACACTGGAGTCCCCTGTCCCTCAATATTTGTCACTGATAAATGCCACACTGATTCATATGTATTCACCTCCCACTACTTCACACCATTGAGGTCCATAAACCCACAGCGGTTAATACATAATATACAGCCGTTGATCGTCCACGGGCATTTAGCGACACTTGGAACTGTTTGAGGAAGAAAGGTGGCGGATAGAGGGGCAGACAACGCGATCCGTACACGTTACAACGGCGTTCCGCTCCCAGTCCCTCATCACCCTTCAGCGACACATGGCGGTTTGGAAAAATACGACCTTACCACTATGCAGAAGCTTGGATTCATGCCGCACGCGAGATTTGAACAAGCAACCGAGAGCAGGTCGGGAGACGCCGCGTCCTAGGCACAGATGACGGCTAAACGTTAGTACCAGTGATAGTAGGACGCGACGTAGGACGCGACGTCTCCCGGGCAGCCAAGTGGCTTATAAGCAGCAACCCTTCGAGTATACGTTACCAAGGCATGTCAGCTTTAGAAATCTTGAATGGCATTAACATTAATATTCAGTTGGATTTTTCGATATTATATTATATAATAATACGAATTATTATTATTATTATTATTATTATTATTATTACTATTATTATTATTATTATAGAACGGATTTTCATGTAACTACATATACTCACACTACATATAGGCAACGGCTTTGAATTTCTTTTCTAGAGTTTGTTAGACATCCTGAATGAATCGAAACCGTTTTTATTGTACACATGTTTACATATTTTGGTGTAAGTACATATTTTCATGTATTTTACTCTTTACATCTATTTTTGATTTCCCGTATTCATACGTAAACACGGAGTAAAATACGTAAAGTTATGTAATGCTGCGCGAAAAACGGCGGATTTTCGACAGAAAAAAAGTAATTGGCGGGCCCTGATACCCAAAAAGTGAATAAATTCATTTGCTAAATTGAGGGAAAAATCCTCTAACACGTGGTGTAGCCAGAATGCCTGTTTTGTGAGTCCTTGATACCGAAAAAACAATTAATGGCAAAACGTTCCTGTGTCCGTGAACACCACTTCCGTCTAAATCATGCGTAGAATTGTTTTCCAAATTGAAGAAACCCCTATCCATCTGGCTCGAAGCTCTGAGATTTCGAAAAACATTCTTTAAAATGTTTGAGTACTTTACAAGAATCCCCCCTTAACATATCCAAAGTTTTCTCACAAACCGCTCCCAAGTTTTTCTTTAAATTTCTTGTACGAATTGAGTAACATACACTTACCTAAGTGGCATAGGTCCGACTTTCACGGTTAACTGAGTTATCAAAAAGAGCAAAAGTATGACTTTTTTCGGCGACTTCCTACAACTACAAAATTGAAGATAATGGTTTTGCCTTCAAATGAAATTTGTTGTCATAATTAGACCTTTCATTATGGTCAAGTACATTTCTTTGAAACTTTTACTAGTTTTCGCGCAATATCATCGCAATATTTGCAATTTTTAAAAAATTCAAAAACAAGATTTTCTCAAAAATGATTCCAAATTTTTCTTTAAATTCTCAGTAGGGATAGTGCGATATATACTCTATAAGATGACATAAACCCCATATTGCTCTATTCTTTTGTCTTTCAAAAATTTCAAAAATTTTTTTTTTTACTTGTCGCTCACGTTGTTAATATTTGTATACGCGGCGATTTGTTCACATTATTGTATTTATAAGTACATGTGCTTTAAATAATGTATAAATTTTCTCGAAAACTCAACCTTTTCTGTGAAAAATAGCTCAAAATTCCGCATTTTAGAAACGCTCAAACGCCATTTTCTCAAAAACGACTCCAATTTTTTCTTCAAACTTTTCGAAACGATAGTACTAATTATATTTTTACTTATTCTTTAATAAGACGTTAAATTCATTTTCGGGCATTTTTTGTTTTTTCAAAAATTACACAAATGTAATTTTTTTTAATTCTCTCATGCCAAAAATATGGACAATTCCAGCAATTCGCAAACACAATACAATAATTAATATATGTAATAAATTTATATACAATTTATAAATTTGTGTATACAATAAATAAATTTGTATTTGTGAGTTAACGTGCTTTAAATGAGTTCTTATAAAGTTATCTAAAACTCAAAAATGTTCTGAAGAAAAAAAAGAGCTTCAAATTTCGAAATTACACTAGAATGAAAGAACACACTAGAACACACTAGAAACACCAGAAAGAACACACTAGAACTTCAAATGAATTCTGATAAAGTTTTTCGAAAACTCAAGAATGTTCTGAGAAAAAGGGCTTCAAATTTCGAAATTACACTAGCGCTTAAACGCCATTTTCTTAAAAACGGCTCCATATATTTTAAAGAAAATTGACATTTATGACAATTTTATACTGTTCTTTAATTTTCTTAAAATAATATTTCCATTCTATTATTAAGAAACCGGAAAATTAAGAAAATGCCAAAAAAATATACTTTGGGCGACTATTGATGGGATCTGGCAAGAGTATGTAGCAAGTCCGTATAGCTAGAAAGGAAAGGAAATAAAAAACTAATTCGTGGAAGTCTTTGCCATTCTGTAGCACTAATAGTTTTTAAAATATGTCGTTACATTTGAATACTTCTTGCACGACGCAACACGTCGAATATGATTTCCCGATAAGGTTCCGGAAATCTGTCTTTCTGTTAGTTACTAAAGTAACACTGGACTTTTATGTTCCCCTGACCTTCTCTCCGACAGACCCTACATCCCTGCTTCTCAGAAACAGCGTGGGATGAGCGGATGCTTGAGAAGTATAAGTATAAGAAAGCACACGATTCCATTCAACCCACGAGTAACACAAAACAAATCGGTCATTGTTTACAATATCCTTCTTATCGCGCTTCCTGCGCCCCACCGAAATACCTGTCTCAGAAACTCGGAACCTACCTGTATAAGCTCTCCACTACAACTGGTCTCGTATGCACCGGCTCGTCACAACCAGCGCTGTATATTTTCAAGTATTTTGCATTTCACAATTAATTATTTTCAAGTATTTTACAATTTCAACGTCCCAATTATTTCAAGTCACGGAGAACATCGCTATAGCAAAACAAAGAAAGAAAATTGAAGCTTCAGCAAACATTCCTGACATCTTCACCTAATGTTCAATCAAGTAAGTCAATTTTCTTTACCGATTCAGGGCACATCTTTCGGTGTGCCCTGAATCTTCTTCGAGACCTTTTCATTTAAATTGTGAAGTTTAAGAAAAATGAAACCACCCTGCAAATGCAAGATTTTTCAATTACTCCATGAGTCTTCTGTGACATAGTGGTATCATTCATGAAAACGTGTTGTTTTTAACTGACCCTGCTCCTTACAAGATGAAAGCGGGGAGTGCATTTAAAGTGTTCTCCCCAAAGCTAAATTATCATACATGCTATTCATCGAGTGGCAGAAACTGTTAGACATCAATTTCCTGGGTTGAATGTCGAAACTTTGATATCGACTGTTAAAAAAGAATATTTGAAAGCACCAAGCAGAGTGAAAATGTTTAACGAAAGTTACCCCGAGCTCAACTTCCACAGCCGGAAATTAAAAAATGGGGCACGTGGTTAGAAGCAGCTAAATATTATTGTGAAAGCTTTGAATAAATGAAATATATTATTTTTGAAACTGGAGCCCGACTCAACTGCGACCCTACAAAAAGCAAAATCTTTGATTAATGAATTCAGTCTGAGAAATAATTTGGCTTTCATTTCTGGTACATGCTATTGCAATGTTTGAGGTTCAAAACATGCCGGTAGCTGCTAGTATTCAAGTAATAAACAATGCATTAGCAAAATTAAAAGACGTATAAGAAGAAAAAACAGAAAAAATTGAAATTACAAGATTCGGTGGAGAAAAATACAGGTTGGAAAGACTTGAAAACATTCTCAGCGGAGGAAAAATCACCACTACACAGAAAGTAGAACTGAACGCAATGGAGATATCAGCGTTCAAATGTGCTCCAATTACTTCTGTAGATATGGAACGTTCCTTCAGACACTACAAATTTATTTTGAGAGCTGATGGACAACATTTTCTGTTTGAAAACTGGAATATGCTCGTTGTATCTAACAATTTTAAACTCTTTATTTTATTATAAGTTTCTTGACTTAAATAAAACAGACTTTTTATATAACAATTTATTTCTTGTTATATTTAACGTTTCGATTATATTTGCGGTCTTTTTCCAAAAATCTACACAGTGTCCAGGTTAGTTGACGTAATAAATAATAAGCATTTAGATTAAAAAATTAACTAATAAATGGAATTTTTAAAAAAACACTTTTGGCACACCAGTTGACAGGGTGAAGCTGACGACTTTAATTTTTATGTGAATGACAATTGTTTATCTAAATGATTATTATTTATGATGTCAACTAACCTGGACATTGGGTTGCTTTTTGAAAAAGACCCCAAACAGGGTCGAAACGTTAAATATAATATGATATAAATTGTTATATAAAAACTCAGTCTGTTTTATTGAGGTCAAGATACTTACTATGAAATAAACATAACAGACGTTAAAATAATAATAATAAATTATTATTATTATTATTATTATTATTAAATGACTTGATCCGAGTGCCCATTCCCTTGCCTTGACCGCTGCCCGCGTTTTCTTGCAGGTGAGCCCGCTGGCGACGGCGCAGGCAGAGGAGGGGGCGGGGGCGGGGCCGCTGTTCGTGGACGCGCCCGACGCATACGCCTGGCCGTGGGAGGCCGCCGTCTACGTGGACGGCGCCTTCGCTTGCGGCGCCGCGCTGCTGCACGAGCAGTGGCTGCTGGCGGCGCCCGACTGCCTCCACGACATCAAGTAAGTGCAGCGGCGACATCAAGAAATTGAGCTCACGCTGTCTTAAACAGCGGTTTTGTAAACAGTGTTATTATGAGTCATTTCTCATTGATACTTATAAATTAATTTATAGAGATATCATATTGTTCTTAGAGACTATGTGTTCCTACGATACGTTTCGTATGAATGTACATTGAGGTTCACTTAAAATATTTCCTTCAAATGTCTCCTGAACCTCTGCAGGTACTGATATGTGGTTTTCGATAAAGCAAACGTACACTAGGGACACCCAAGTAGACGTATAATAACAGTGGATTTGCCGTTTCCACTTTCGAAAGACGAAGCCAGGGTTGCCAGATTTTCGAATTTTGTCCCCAAAGTTTGTCCCATCCTCTCGTTTTTCAATAATTACATTTGTGTAATTAAAAAAAAAAACAATAAAAGAATACACCAAAGTGGATTTTATGTCATCTTAAACAGCGCAATTAGCCCTATACGGACGAAAAGTTTGAAGAAAAAACTCCAGCTGTTTTCGAAAAATGGTGTTTGAGCGTTTCTGAAAATGCGGAATTTTTTTAACTCATTTTCACAGAAAATGTTTGTTTCCAAGACATTTATACGAGATCATTTAAAGCACATGTGCTCATTAATGCAATAATGTCAACAAAGCGACTCTAATGCAAATATACGCGAGAGAGATGTAAAAAGATATGAGAGATTTCAAAAAATTACAATTGTGTTATTTAAAAAAAACAACAACAACAACAAATGAATATGGCGTTTATAGCCAAAGTTGTTGTCTGTAATTAGTTCTTTCATTCGCAATCTGGTAGAATACATTTGACAAGATGACATTCTACAGAATACATTCTACAAGATGACACTCTTGTAGAATACATTTAACACTATCCCTGCGAAAATTTTAAAGAAATAATTTGTAATCGTTTTTGAGAAAATCTTGTTTTTGTTATCTTTTAATATTGAACGCAATATTGCGCAAAAACTGATAACTGTTTCAATAAAATGTACCTGATATTAATGAAAGAACTAATTACAGACAACAACATTCTTTTGAAGGAAAAATCTCTATCTTGAATATTGTAATAGTATGAATTAGCGGAAAACATTCAAATTTTAAAGATTTTAAAAATTCAAAGTTAACAGTGAAAAATAGACCTATGTCTTTATAAGAGAATTTTACTCTATATTAAAAAAATTAAGAGAAAAATTGGAACCATTTTTGAGAAACAATTGAAAATGTTTCAGGGGCTGCATGTACAGTACCCCCAAATGGAAAAGAATGTTTTTCAGAATCGCAACTCTTCAAATCGCGTCAGATTGACTGGGAAATATCAATTTTGGAAGAAATCCTACTTATGGTTTAGGCGGAAGTGGTGTTCACAGACGGACGGATGTTAACATAAACACTTTTTTGGTATCAAAGATCCACAATTTTTTTAATCTGACTGCATAACGTGTTAGTGGGAGTCATTTACTACGTAGAACTTATACGTACGTAGATTTATCTACTTTCTCTGAATCAGGGCACCACAATATGAGTTTCTGTGTAGAAAAATCCCGTTTTTACGCCGCAGCATTGCATAACATTCTCTATACTATGTACCATATTACTAAAACAGTATCTATATTACTACATTACTCTAACCTACGTATAAACGTATACGAGAAAGTAAAAATATATTTTAAAACATTTTTATAATTAAGTGTTACAATCTCTTTAGTATTTTCAGAATATTTAACAGTTTGGAGGTTTTTCAAGATGTAGTGGGTTTTACCACGACATCCGCGGAGGTTTCTGGCAATGTCCGTTCAGCGGGCAGGACTAACTAGTGCCGGTCTATAGTAATTGGCTCGGAATGCCCAGGAGGGCACTCCTGAGCACTCTGTGTGGTCACACTGTGTGTGGCTCCCCTGTGCCCGGAGTTGGTGTGTGTCTGCTTCCACGAGCGCGTGGCGTTGCAGGCTGGGCGCGGGCGTGTTGGCGGCGGCGCTGGGCGTTCGGCGGCCGCTGGCGGCGCCGCCAGCGCCGGGCGAGGAGCCCGCGCGCGTGGACAGCCTGCGCGCCGTGGGGCCCTGGGCGCTGCTGCTGCACCTCGCCGCCCCCGTCGCCCCCGGGCGCCGCGTGCGCCCGCTGCGCCTCCTCAGATGGTGAGCCACGCCCCCGCGCCGCGCCGCCAGCGCAGTTGCGCGTCTCCTGCATTGCTTCATAGCTGGTCCCCTTTAAATGCTATGATAATACAAGTAATTATATTGATTATCCGTAAATGTATTGAATTTTAGTTCGCGGAATTTACGACGTTCCTCTCCTGTTGATGTCGAGATCCAGCACTGACCTGCACATAGACTTGGGGGAATTCTCTCCTCCACGAATCTACGCCAAAGGGTCACCGACCCAGCCGGGACACGTTCTGAGCTCCCGACATGTCTACCGATAAGTGTCTTAGTGCATTTTCCGTTTGCTCTTAGAAAAAAGCTGATGTCAACAACCCGGAGGTATTCATCCGCCTGCTCCGATTCTCAATCGCCGACTCCGCTTGCATTTCTTTTGGCCCCGCGCGCTCGGTACAGTAATCGCTCGAAAAGCGAACCGGAGTGATGCATAGCACTAGGCATACTAACATTTGTAATATATCCGCAATGGCATCTTTACAAACATTAACAGGAACTACTTAATAGTAAAACTAATCAAATCACACATAACCACCAGTTTACAAAGATAAATTAAAAAAAAATCTTTACTTAGAATAAAGTGAGCAAGTGAATGTCAATATTCAAATTACGTTATTGGTGTATTTCGACTGTTTTAGCTAATAATCACCTTTAAACTCACATTAATAATTTATTTACGATCACTCTGCTTCAGAAAGATGTTCAATTCCTTCCACGTCTGAAGCAGATGATTCGGTGCTGCTTTGGGATATGACTATCTCGTCCACGATACTGTTACTGAAGCCATCTATCTCTCACATTCTCTGTTCCTTCCCACGCACATACAGTGCCGCGATACCGATAAGCAGCAGTGCACTTCCCACGTGGCAACCGCCGTAAGCCACTAGTTCCCAGAATAAACTTAATATCGCCATCTGGTCATCCCATGCGACGTGGGCGCGGTATTTCCGGCAGTCCACGTGACTCAGAAACGCAGGGGCGCTCCTCCGACTGTCAAATGCACGATGGAGTCTGAGTAGGAAGATACTTTGCTTTTATTAAGGTTATTTGTTGACTATACCAAACCAATTTCGTAAAACAGGTTTTATTAATGTTTGCATAACATACCATAAACATAGCCACAACATAATTTACCATAAACAAGCGTAGTCAGAAAAATTTCCAGGCGATATACTGGAGACTTGTCAGAACAATTAAAATAGAAGAGATCTCCAATAACTTCGTCGCGATCCAGAAGCGAGAAGAAAAATCCTTACACTCGCAGGCAGCGCCGTCACTATCACTTTCACATACACTCCAGGTTGCTTGCACTATTGCTGGTATGACTTGAACTGTTCTCTCCACCCGCTGGGCGCCATTTTATTCACAGTTCGGGCTAAAGGCTCGCCGACTGGCCCGGCTGTAGGGGGGTTGGCGCGCCCGGCCCCGCTGACTGAAGTATGACTGTTGCGCCGACCCCGATCTCAGCGACCTCTCGTAAGCGGTGCCTTTATTCTCCCTGGCGCCGCCGTCTCGCTGCTGCGTCCCGGTGGCGGTTCTTTTAAAGGGACGCAGTTGACCACTTATTAGTAATTAAAAGATGGAAAGAAGTAAATTAATAGGTTTGGGTAAATTAATAGGTCGGGGAACAGTGGGCGGGGTCTGCAGAGGGGTGGGGTGGGGCAGATGGGTGGGGTGGGAGAGTGGGTGGGGTGGGCAGAGTGGTGGGGTGGGGCAGAGTGGGTAGTGACGGGCAGAGTAGAGTGGGTGGGTCGGGGCAGAGTGGTGGGACGAGGCAGAGTGGGCGAGTCGGCAGTGTGTGGGGACGGGGCAGAGTGGGCGGGGTCGGGGCAAGTGGGCCCGGGGCGCGGCCGGAGTGGGTGGGGAACGAGGCAGAGTTGGGCGGGGCGCACCGGAGTGTGTGAGAACGGGGCATAGTGGGCTGGCGGCCGGAGTGAGTGGGGCGGGACAAAGGGGGCGGGCGGGCGGCGGAGGGAGCAACCAGGGCGGGGGACGCAGCAGGGTTCGCTTTCTTGCTAGCCTTGAAAATACATAGAATCAGGAGCTCACGAGAAGTTGCATGCAGTGGTTCCCAAGTGCACTCCAATCACTTTGACTTGTTTTCTCCCTCGATCACTTACTTCGACAATACTCTATTGCACGTCTATTATCTGCCATTTGATCTATAGTAAGCTGGTACCCCGACATGTGAGAATCGCAGGCAATGAGCTAGCCGTTCAAGCCGCAAAAACTGCCACTCGGAAGTCATCTATTGACATTTTTTATGTCTCCTCAGCAGACTCTAAAGCGTAATTATAAATTTCAATACTCAGTGCATGGCAAACAGAGTGGCAGAACTCAAACTTTAAACTCACGAGAATCAAGGATTCCATAAAGCCTTGGTCTTCCTCATATCTCTTGGGTCTAGACACGAGGAGACAATTCTCACACGCCTTCGGATTGGTCACTGACATTTCTCACACGGCCATCTTTTCCGCGGCGACCCACCCCTAAATGCGATAGTTGCGAGACGAATCTTACCGTAGAGCATGTTCTCTTGCACTGTTGTTAGGTAAGCTCTCTAGCACAGGTACTGGGACACGACGAATATTCTCTCTGCAAGCTTTTTAGCATCTTACGAGGGACTGACATTTTCAGCATTATATGAGAGAAGAGGATTATGTCAACTATTTGGCTTTTAATTGGAGATTTTAAAGTGTTTATGTGGTTCTTTTCTGCCAACTCCATTTTTAAAATAATTGAACACGTTTGTTTTCAGTTTTTACTTTGCATTAAAAAATATATTAGTCTGACACTGCTGTTGTGCGTATAGTTCTTAAAATAATTTGAAACGGGCAACAATGACCTTAGACGTTGAAGCGCCCTTAGACCTTAATAATCATCATTAAATTGTGCGATTGAGATTATTGTGAGCATTAATTCTAGACAGTGTCTTGTAAAGTTGTACAAACAATTTGGATGCCAGTGTCCAAGTGATGGCTAGTGTCTCTCTCATACGGATGACCATACTTTGCAACAGAACGGAATATTAATTTTGTTCATTATGAATCCGGAAAACCAGGCATTGTTGGAGCGTGTGTGCCAGCCGCTGCGGGCGAAGCTGCGCAGGCGACCGGAGAAGAATCGACTTGCAATTCTTTCTACCTGCGCAGGCGCGTAGATTTAAGCGTGGATGTGTGAGTCACTTCGGCACGTCTGTGCAGTTTTGAAGTTAGTAGTGGCTAGTTTCTTGAGTAGAGAGCGTGAGTAGTCTTTGGATTTACGTGTACAATAGTGTTAAATAGTGACTACGGTTGCAATAGTTCCAGTGACTTGTGATCACGTCAAGCCGAGTGATAGAAGTTATTCATCGAGATATATAGTTCCGAACCTTGTGTGCGGCGGTTGAAAAGTAAAGAGTTCCACGGCCGGGAAAAGAGAAATGAAGCCTATGAAAGTCTTGTGCTAAATTAAAGACGTTAGAGTTATAGTTAGTTAACACTTTTAAATATTTAATACAAAATGTTTTTTTCGAAGAACAGTGGAAATCGTATTTGGTATTCTTCATTCATTCGCAAAAAAGTATGTTAATTTTTAAGAACTGAACTTCACACTTTTTAGTAATCTTGTATGAGTTTATTCATTTGTTTTTGTAAGCCAATCTATACATCAAGCTTCGCGTTTTTGCTTCTTTTTACACTTCGTGGCCACGTCAAAAGCAATCACGTAGCATTCGTGTTTGCTCCCCATTACTCGGCTGAGATAAAATCTTCCGGTTTATGGTAGCATGTATGTGCTCTAACTTGCACAGGTGTACCTTTCCGGTTGACTTTTGCAGGTTTATCTGACAGGTATGTCGCAATGTGGGTGCCGGGTCTAAGAACGGAATATTATGTAGATAGAAAAATATTATTAGCTCACACAAAATTAAAAAGTTGAAATACTGTCGTTTTAATGGACCACGCCTGGAATTAAACATAATGTTTTAACTTTTCTCAAAACCTTTTTTGTGTCAAATTAAAACACGTAAGTAGTGAGTGAAAAAAGTTCCTTATTTCTTAGGTTGATAATTGAATCGTTAGCACTGAGGATGCAGAATCGAGCAGGTCTTGAAAAAATGTTTTTGACTACCGCTTCGGCTACACACCTTCGTGTCCAGAGAAAAGAGATTGGCACGTTTTAGTAAACACTGCAATATTTTCGTGTTGAAATATGTACTAGAGATAACCTCCGCAGAAAGCAGTCAGTACATGCCTTCGTCACTTCGCAAATCAGTAACTGTATCACGCTAGTATAGAACGCTAAAAGCGGTGTGTGGTGTATACGTACATATTGAGATTCCCTCTCGTGATTTTGTCATTAGATCAAAATTTGTCGAAGGGATATAAATATATATTTAGAAATGAAATAACTTGATGGCTTCATATTAAAAGATATATTTAGAATTATAATCAGATGCAAAGCCTTTAATAGTTATTAATGTGTTGCAAATATAATGTGCATTGGATGCGATAAATTAGAGTAATTAACGAAAGAAGAGTATAAAGAGGGGTATAATTGCATAACTGGTATGTTCAAATTGGCTGCATTGCTGCAAACCCCAATAATTGTATGACATATTACAAATCTTTCTCTACCGGTAGCGGGAAAGGGTAAAATTGAAAGGAAACGAGACAACGTAACCCGCGTTAATTTTAATATTATATTTCAGGAAAATAATAAATACAGAAAAAACTAATTTCAGGTAAACTATTAATAAAAATGATTCAACTCTTTAAAAAATATAAGATTGTTTAGTGTCCCAGTTACCGTGAAATGTTTCATTCAAATATGTTCTCATTTTGGGTGATAATTAATTATTCATCTTTTCCTTCCAACACGGCTTACGTAGCAAACATCTCGAATATTCTGTACACTGTGGCCATGAACTTAGTTCATTAACGCAGGCAAGCTCATTACGGTCCATTCAAAAAATATATTCTCGGAGATTGCCGTGGATG